CGCTTCGCAAGCTATCGAACGCGCGATTAACTGCGATGCAACCCTTGACAAAAAGGCTCGAAGCGCGGAAAATTCTGTACGGCAAATCGAGCGTGCCGACGGTCGTCCGAAAGGCGTTCCGCTCGCCCGTCGTTGACGGATCGCGGGTCCGACGGTTTTATGTAATCGCGAGAACCCGGCGCACAGGTGCGCGCCGAGCCGGGCAAATAGAAAAGAGACGAAATGCATCGTGGTTAACCGCGTGCACCCTGCACAACCGGCCAGCTTGCAGCGGCCCGCGGAGCTTCTGGCTCGATGGACCGCGTTAAACCGAGCTTTTCATCGACCCGCACCTAACCCACACTTAACCCGCCCTCCGCCACAGATCCGGCACCCCGGGTCCTTTTACTTCTTCTCCCACGGTCGAGCGACTTTCGGCCTGGATGTCGAATGGACGCGGCGCCGTTCGCCGGAACGATGGAATCGTCGTTTTCGACGGAATTCGTCGAGATCCGCGAAATCTAAGATGCCCGGAACGGAGAATCGATGTCCCAGGAATCGAGGATCTGCTGGCTCGTCCGCTATCGGAACTAAAAACTAGGCTAAAGAAGAGTCCCGGCTCTACCGGGTGGCCCAAAAATGTCTCCGGAAATGGGGGCGTCCGCCCTGAGGTCGTTCGAAGTACAGTCGCAGCGGAAAGTACGTTGACGTCTTTGCAAATGGAATAACTTTTTTACATTTGGCTCGAAGGAATTCAATATTTTTGAGACCGTAGATTGATTAATTTCCTCTGGAACGAGTATACAGAAAGCTGTTTTATAGATTGCAATTAATTGGAATAACAAAAAGATTGAATATAACGTTGTTTAAACTTTTTTATCTGAGCCCATGACGAACATTTGGAAAATGCATTTTGTAGATCACGGTGCTGGAGATTTCCAGGAAGAGCCTGTTAAAGGTATGAATATTATTCATGCTCATTATAGTCTTCGTTTTTCTAAATAATTATTGCAATTGAAAAATCTCCAATCATTGCGGCTATGAAGGGGGTAATTTTAATTTCAATTTTGCGAATTTATTCTAGTTCATTCAACTATAGGATATCAACTATAGGTCATAACTACAGGGTATCCCAAAATTATGGTATCTCCTGGAAGCGAGGGGTTCCTAAGATCATTCGAAATAACTTTTTCCTTTACGAAAATGCAATCCGTGGCCTCGTTTACGAGTTATTAACGAAAAACTCTGACCAATCGCCCGTCGAATGCGCCCGGCGCTCCGCCCTCCGCTGCGTCGCTCCGCCTCCAGTCGCAGCGGCAGTGGTCGCGAGGGCGTCAGCCGTGCGCTATCTCTCAATGGTCACCGTTTTTCGTCAATAACTCGCGAACGAAGCCTCGGATCGCATTTTTGTAAAGGAAAAAGTTGCTTGAAATGATCTCGGGAACCCATTTCCTGCTCGCGAGACAATTTCGGGACACCCTGTGTAAAGCAGGACCGCCTCGCTTTCCGAGCATCCCATTTGAATTCCAAGCAGCCCATCTTTCGTTGTAACCGAATTTTCCCTCGATCTACCCTGGTTGTACGCCACGGCTTCGCCCGTCTCGCGCCGAGTCTGCGAGCGAGAGGGTTGTTTAGAGCTCTCCCCGTTCCATAAAACCGGCTCGTCTTGCATTCTAAGCGGCCGATTCGTGTCCCAGATACCCCGCCCGACCACCGGAACCAATTTTCTCTCACGACATCACAGGACTTCGTGACTGATAGCTGAAAATTGAGTCTGCGAGATAGGGGATCGGTCGAGAGTCCGGCCGGTTTTCTAAAATAAGCTTCCGAGGCGCCGTTCTTGAAATGAAATTTCCTTCGACGACAGTATCGATCATCGCGCTACATGCTCTCGTAGCTCCTAGCTCAAGAGCACAGCGGATGCAGCGAGGTTTCGTGGTCCGAGGGTGTGTAGCCCCCTAATCGACCGTGGCCGGCCAACTTTCACTCGACGAATCTCGAGTCGAGCGGATTGTTGCGCTTTTCAAATTAAATTTGAAAGTTCCCCTGGGGTTTAACGATGCTTAACGGAGTTAGCGGCCTGCGCCCGCTATCGGGACATCCCAGATGCAGCGGGACATAAATCGGGAGCGACCGCGTTATCCTGGCGGGAGCCAAGTTTTAATGGCCAAGGAGCTCCCGAGGACTCTCCTGGCGATCGACCAGAATCCGCCGGGCCGCTGCGTTCGCGCGGGCCGAGTTCCGCGCGCGTTTTACAGCCGCCGGGACAACGGCTCCGATGCGATAATTCACGCGTCTAGACAAAATGGCCGTTGCCGCCTGCGCCCCCTTTGGCCGCCGCCTTCGAGAACCACGAATTCCGAGGACCGAGAATCCAGGGACTCTGCCATCCCCAATGGCAACTTCTCCCAAAAAAATGGGGCAATTTTCTACGCGTTTCGATCGCCTTCTAAAATGGAATACAGTAATGTCTCCCTTACTGACGCTCGGATTGTCCACAAAAATTTGGGAAGAGGAGCCTTGCGAATTCGAGCCTCGCGAGACTTGTTCTTATAATTACCGATTGTCAACGATTATAAAAACATGGTGCAAAGCCGGAATAATCGTATCTCCTGTTCCCAAATTGTCCATTTTTCTGCACAACCTAAGCGTCAGTTAGGGAGACATTACCGTAACTTTTTTATAAATCGTTCTCGAGAAAGATGAAAAAAAGTATCTATAAAATTTTTTAAATTTGTTTTGCAGGTTTCGACGATTTAAGCGAACTACATAATCGACAAATAATTTTTCTTTAGACGTCTCGCTTTTTCTTCGCGAACGGTCAATATCAAAATGTTAATCCAACGTTAAATTACGTTAAATCGTCGACCTCGATGATTTTAGGTGACGGTACGTTTACGAAGTAACGGTACGGTTTTCTAATGTTATTAGGGTGTTTTTTAACGCGTGGTGGCCAACGTTTGGGCATTTTTGCACAGTGCGGCGACGACTCGTCGCAGGCCGGCAGGACCCTGCGAGCGATTCCCATGTCCCACCCCGCGCGATTATTGATCACGGATTATCCGAAGCGATCCCAGACCCACCCTGATTCCCAGCGGTTTATTGCCGTCGGCGGCACGCGCGAAAGAAGATAATAGCAAAGAGATCTCGATTAAACGGGGACTCGCGGTGCTTCCCCGAACGGGCACCGATGATGGATTTTTCAATGGAACGATGAATTACGGAGGTGTGGTGGGGGGATGGTCTCCTCCTCTTTCGTATAAATTGAAAAGTTTTCTCGTATTTGCTTCTTGCAACTTTCGTTGCGTTGCACAAGCAACGAAAAATAATACGAAACTAAAACTGTTAAAAAAAGAACTGCGAGGGTACATTGGCGCGGAAGTTGTTCGAATAATATCGTGAACAGACGCGTCTGGTATCCGAATTCGTTGCCCGTCCATAAACAGTTTCAGCTGTTCAGTGAAAAACGTATTTAAAATTCTCGCCATAATTGGAAAACTTTCGACGCGCTATTATTCTGTGATTGTCCATGGGGGTGAAATATTTAATTATTCAGCGAAACAATGCTCTCGCTTCCAAATAGCGCTGCTGTTGCAACAAATATTTCGCTTTTAATTACACATTATCACCTGGAAAATGTATTTCCTCGACATCGAAGCGTTACCCAAAACAGTGCGAATTTAAGTAAGCAGAATTTCCGTTTATTTTACGACGACGTTTCATAATAACTCCGTTCGCGAGCCTACGCTGGAATCTTCTAAAATAGAAAGTTGATTTCTCGAATTTCGTTTATTGAACGATGCGCTCGCTACGCGTCGTCGGTCGGATGGCAGCTCTCGGGGTTCGATTAACCCCGACCTTCGCTGCCGTAGTCGATTTCATCCGACGCGAGAAAACCCGTGCGACGGGGTAGAAAGCCCGGGGCGGGAGGGTGCCAGGACTGACGAGCGGAGGCAAGAACCACGGTCTAATCTGCCATAATGCAGCCCGACATGCAAATAGATATTTTTAACCTTGTCTCGGAGGCGATCGATAGCCGCGAAGGCGGCACGGAGCTCGTCTAAATAATTGCTCTTCTACACCCCCGACGTCAGACGCACAGCGAGAGAGATAGTGAGAGTGTGAGAGAGAGAGAAAGAGAAAAAGAGTAGAAAAAAGGCAGAGGAAGAGAGAGTGAGAGAAAGAAAGCGAGAAAGGGAGAGTGAAAGAGTGCAAGAGAGAGCGGGAGAGAGCAAGACAGAGCGAGAGAGAGAGCGGGAGAGAGTAAGATAGGGAGCGAGAGAGAGCGGGAGAGAGTAAGACAGAGCGAGAGAGAGCGGGAGAAAGCAAGACAGAGAGCGAGAGAGCGGGAGAGAGCAAGACAGAGAGCAAGACAGAGAGTGAGAGAGCGGAAGAGAGCAAGACAGAGCGAGAGAGAGCGGGAGAGAGCAAGACAGAGTGAGAGAGAGCGGGAGAGAGCAAGACAGAGCGAGAGAGAGCGGGAGAAAGCGAGAGAGAGCGGGAGAGAGCAAAAGAGAGCGAGAGAAAGAAAGAGAAAGTGAACGAGAGAGTCTCTCTCGAGTGAGAGAAAGAAAGAAAGAGAGCTAGAGAAAGAGAGAGAGAGAGAGAGAGAGAGAGAGAGAGAGCGTTTGGTCGTGTTCCCTCGCACGCATCGCCCTCACCAGAAGGGATTCCCCGTTTTTTCCACGTCCGCGTCTCCACCCCCGCGATCCGTTATCCATCGAGCGTATCGGGGCCGATGGTTTTTACCTCTTCGCGGTTGCGTGTTCCATTTTTCCTCATTTATCTTTCCCTTTTTTTCCCTCGCCCTTTTCCGCAAGGAACGCCGGCGAACCGATGAGACGTTCGGAACGGGACAGAGAAGAAGGCGGGGTAAGCTTCCTCGGGGATGAGTAATCGACGCTTTAATCAGCCGCGACGACTTTCATGGTCTTTTAAAAGTCGGCGATAAAAAACGCCAAGGAGCCGCTAATCAATCCCGCAGGATGAATGTGCTATGAATGTACTACGTGTGTACTCACTTTGGTATATCGCCGATCTTCGGTGGCCGACATTTTCGCGGCGGAACGTCTCCCCATATGTTGTACGCTGAAAAATAATCAAACAGAAGATCATTCGCCACCGTTCTCACACGACCATTCCTACATTATCCCTATCGACACTTTTTACTTAATTTACTTAATTCCTCTTAATTCTCTCGAATTCCTGTATGGATCGAAAATTGGATTAAAAATTGCATCAATATATGAATTTATATAGTTTTCGGTTGTCGACGACTGTAGAAACGATCTGTGAAAGTTGAATAATCGTGTCTCCTCTTCTCCATAAGAGGAGAATTTTCTCCTCCGAAAATTGTTCATTTTCGTGTACAAGCTGAGGGACAATTGGAGAGAATTTTCTGTAGCGCGCTGATGCAAGGGAAAAAAATCAAAAATCAATATTTCTTGTCTATATATTATAATTACAATCTAGTGTCTTCATTCGTACGTAAACAATTAAAAAGAATTCCTCTTAATTCTCTCGAGATCTGTCGACGTCTGAACACCTGGCCCGGCCCGGCGCTTTTTTACGCGTCGAACAATTCGAAACGGCGGCCGTCCGTGGACGCATCGTCATCGCGTTCCGACCCGATTACTTTCGCCGTACGTAACAGTTGTAATAGGATTAGGAGGACACGGCACTTCCACCGTCGGACCTTTTAATCAATTATCTCTTAGCGTGGGCGATAATGCAATAACAGAGGTAGCCCGGTCTTCGGCGGATACGGAAGCAGCAACGATACAATTATTAGATCGTTACACGTGAACCGGCTCTCCCGAAACCTCTGCACACATGCGAACGGTTATCCTGTCCTCTGAACGAGAAGCCATCGTTGTTCGAAAGGCTACGCTTCGGTCGGAATCGAAGAGATCGGTTTTCACTGTGCTCGAATCGCTGCGGGAATCTCTGGACACCGGGTACAGTAATGTCTCCCTTACTGACGCTCAGATTGTCCACTAGAATGGATAATTTGGGAAGAGGAGATACGATTGTTCGAGCGAGAGAGAGCGAGAGAGAGAGCGGGAGAGAGCAAGACAGAGCGAGAGAGAGAGAGAGCGGGAGAGAGCAAGACAGAGCGAGAGAGAGAGCGGGAGAGAGCGGGAGAGAGCAAGACAGAGCGAGAGAGAGCGGGAGAGTGGTGGCTCGTTTTTTATAGTTATCGGTTGTCAACAAGTATAAAAATGAGCCGTAAGGCTCGAATAATCGTATCCCCTCTTCTCCAATTGTCCATTTTAGTGGCCATCGTGTTTAGAAACCAATTACAGTAATGTCTCCCTTACTGACGCTCAGATTGTCCACTAAAATGAACAATTTGGGAAGAGGAGATACGATTTTTCGAGCCTTGCCACTCGTTTTTATAGTTGTTGACAATCGATAACCATAAAAAAAGAGCAACAAGGCTCGAACAATCGTATCTTCCCTTCGAAAATTGTCCATTTTTGTGGACAATTTGAGCGTCAATTGGAGAGACATTACTGTACAGAGAGCGGCGAATTCTGCGCTGTCTTCGCGAAGAGTACGAACGCGCTGACGCGCACAAGTGCAAACTCGATTCAACCGAGGGCTAAGTGGCCGAGAGCACTCGTACATACACCGGAACCGTTCAAAGAGCGAACTTTATAATTAGTAAATGCCTGCGAAGCCGCGCGATCGATGCGGTGAACGGAAGATGCACCGGCAACGACGCGGCGAGGCAACAATAAGCCACGATTCCTGCGAATGTTCCGGCCTAGAGATCGTATCTTTTTCATTCGAATGGTTTTTACTTGTTTGAGGAAACTTCGAAAAATATTCTGAAAATATTTGTTAGCGTTTTGGAGCACTTTTTGCCTTGTACGGTGAGTTCTCTCGAATTGTATCAATAAATGCATCGATAAATAGGATCAAAAATTAATAATCGTGTCCCCTCTTCTCAAATTATCCGTTTTCGTTTACAAGCTGAGGGACAATTGGAGAGAATTTTCTGCAGCGCGCTGATGCAAGGAAGAAAATCAAAAATCCATATTTCTTTTCTATATATTATAATTATAATCTAGTGTCTTCATTCGTACGTAAACAATTAAAAAGAAATAATAAAAACGTACACCCTCGAATCCCAAGAAACAAACGATACCCAGTTATAATTCTTAAATAAAAAATGTTTCGAACAAAAATTACTCGCTACGTAGTTTCCAAAAAATTACAATACTAAATGTCGATTTAGTAGATTCAGTAGATTTTGCAGTTTTGTTTAACACAAAATTGTATATTACTTGCCTACAAACCGATTCGTCTTTGCATTCCCTTTAAACCAAAAAAGACGCACTTGGATCGAAAATTAATTAGCTTAAAAACCACGATTATCATCCCGAACCCCCCTAAGATCGCATCACAGTGCACCAGGTCGAAGATTCCATAAAATTTCTCTTTCAGGTGCGACGATCGATCGGCGGATCGATAGTATCGTCGACGCAACGGCGCGGCTGCGAAAGGTCAAGAGTTGCTCCGTCGAGTCGCGACGCGCCATTTGATTGGAAGTAATTAAATCATCAACGAGATCAGCCTCGCGATTAAAACGGGTCTGCGAAGGCGAAAGCAGCCGGGAGTCGGTGAACCAGTCGCGAATCGAGCCCCGACTTCCCCTTTCAAGCTTCACAGCCAACGAGAGCGAGTCGGATCGATTATGCCGATTCGGAGAGCAGACAATTTACGCGTCGTTGCCGATAAACATCGTCGCCGTGGCCGACAAGACATACAGTGTGTCCCGAAAATGTCTCGCAATCCGGAAATGGGAGGTTCCTGAAATCATTTGAAGCAACTTTTTCCTTTGCGAAAATTTTCTCCGAGGCTTCGTTTACGAGTTATTAACGAAAAACAGTGACCAATAAGAGGCGAGCTCGACTGGCGCGCGGCGGCCCAGCCAACGAGTGCACGGAGCCCAGTTCCGCTCATTGGCTCGGTCGTCTCGCGCCAAATGATCTCGTCTCTGATTGGTCACTGTTTTTCGTTAACAACTCGTAAACGAAGCCGCGGATCGCATTTTCGCTAAGGAAAGAGTTGCTTCAAATGGCCTCAGGAATCCCCTACTTTCGGATTGCGAGACATTTTTGGGACACCCTGTATATTATAATTCGTCCGGCGATCGACGCCGAAGAATCGCTTGCGAAACCAGGCGAACCGTTGAATCGCCGACGATTGCGGATCCGCGATAATGCAACGTGTGCAGATCGTGCGAAACGAAGTTCTGCGAACGAGGGGGACGCGGCGAGGGGCGTGGGGCGGTTAAAAGCTGAAACTCGTTGCGAAAACCGAGCTCGAAAACTTGTCAGCTTCGAAACGAAGTTCCGGTTAAAACGCAATCTCCGTGCGTGGCGTATTTTTCGCGAATCCTCCGATGGAAACGCGACGCGCCGATCCTCGTTTAAAAAACGGTTAATTAGAGAGAAACGGCTTTCGACTGTGGCTCTGCGGACCGTTCGATCGTAAACAACGTTTACTTTTGCAATTAAAATCTCTNCTGAAATCATTTGAAGCAACTTTTTCCTTTGCGAAAATTTTCTCCGAGGCTTCGTTTACGAGTTATTAACGAAAAACAGTGACCAATAAGAGGCGAGCTCGACTGGCGCGCGGCGGCCCAGCCAACGAGTGCACGGAGCCCAGTTCCGCTCATTGGCTCGGTCGTCTCGCGCCAAATGATCTCGTCTCTGATTGGTCACTGTTTTTCGTTAACAACTCGTAAACGAAGCCGCGGATCGCATTTTCGCTAAGGAAAGAGTTGCTTCAAATGGCCTCAGGAATCCCCTACTTTCGGATTGCGAGACATTTTTGGGACACCCTGTATATTATAATTCGTCCGGCGATCGACGCCGAAGAATCGCTTGCGAAACCAGGCGAACCGTTGAATCGCCGACGATTGCGGATCCGCGATAATGCAACGTGTGCAGATCGTGCGAAACGAAGTTCTGCGAACGAGGGGGACGCGGCGAGGGGCGTGGGGCGGTTAAAAGCTGAAACTCGTTGCGAAAACCGAGCTCGAAAACTTGTCAGCTTCGAAACGAAGTTCCGGTTAAAACGCAATCTCCGTGCGTGGCGTATTTTTCGCGAATCCTCCGATGGAAACGCGACGCGCCGATCCTCGTTTAAAAAACGGTTAATTAGAGAGAAACGGCTTTCGACTGTGGCTCTGCGGACCGTTCGATCGTAAACAACGTTTACTTTTGCAATTAAAATCTCTCGCATGAACGTATTTTCTTTCCTCTTTTCTTATTTTTTTTGTGTGCAAATGAACCGAAATAATTGCCCGCGACGACGGAGCTAGGAAATTCCTGGAAGAAGCTGCGTTTAATTTGCAAAGGGTGGCGGCGAGGGAGACGGATGGTTTTAATATTCCGATTCGAGGAAGGCCGCAAACGAAAAAAATTATTTATTCGGCTTCGGCGCGCGGCTCGTTGCACGATTCTTGGCGCGCGCGCGCGTGCCGTGTTTCGCGGCGATTAATTAAAAGCGCAACGACGTCGCGCCGGGCTTCCGCGAGCCTCATAATTCCTAATTGCGGACGATCGATCGACGGTGTGAACTTTCGTTGACACGCTTTCAACGGCGACGGTCTAATTGTTTCCACGGTATCCGTCGACGACGCGTGGGAGCTTCCCTGAAATTGCGAGACAATTTTTCTGAAACGGGAAACGTTTCGCTTCCTCCGCTTGCTCGAGATTTCTCCCGGATTGGTATTTTCGTGGCGCGATGCGCAGCAAGGGGTTGCGAGAAAAAAGAAAAAGAGAGAGTGAGAGTTCTCTCTTCCAGAGAGAGAGTGGAAGAGAGAAAGACCAAGAAAAGAAGAGAAAGAATTCGACGACGAGCGCAGGAAATCCCGAACGATTTCCGCTGATTGAATTCTCAGCCAGAGAGATTCCATTCGTTTTTCCGTTCGTCGGACTCCGTCGGCTAATCGCATAGAAAAAAGTTGCAGCGCGTTCCCAGCCCGGAAACGTGTACCTGTTGCAGTGTTCACCGCGCCGCGTCGCGTCGAAATTTTGTTAACGCGTCGGCGAAGCAGCCGACCGGCGTTA